ACGCCTGTGCATCCCTGCCGGGGCCAGGAGACTAGGGAGAGGGGTCTTGTCCCTGGTGAGGGAAGAGGAGGGCAAAGTTCGGGGCTTGTTGGAGACGGAGTGCCCTCACACAGCCTGTTCCCTGCAGGCGGCCCATTGCGACGCCTGGTGCCGGCCAATTACGCAGACGGTGTGTACCAAGCTCTGGGAGAGCCGCAGCTGCCCAACCCGCGCCAACTCAGCAACGCCGCCATGCAGGGCCCAGCCGGGCTGGCATCCCGCCGCAACCGCACCGTGCTGGGGGTCTTCTTCGGTGAGGGCCACGTGGGAAAACACGAGGGCTGGCCCACTGAAGCCCCCCTGCAAGTCCTCAGCCACATCCCCCGACCCCCACTAGGCAGCACGAGGCTTTTTTCATCTCAGAGAGATCTGGGGCTTCCATTCAGGGACCTTTGCTCCCATACATTTTCTTTTACCCCTTACTCCAAACCCAGGAGTAACCCTGGCCCTCCATTATAGTTCTCAGGAGCTGAGTCCCCTGCCATGCTCTCCTCTCAATATGATCATCCTCTCCCTCCCCCTATCACCTCCCCCCTTGCCCTCCCCCTCCCACCCCGATAGAGGAGGGGTGGTGGAAGGGCCTATTAGGAGATGGGGATTGGCTAGGCAGGGAGCTTATATTAATTATATTGATGATCACAACTTTGCAGATTAGAAAAAAGCCACGGAGCTGTTGGTAGCACTTGCACTCAAACACCTGCCTTTTGGCTCTTGAGAAACTTGGCCACAGGAAGTGGCGATTCTCACCAGTTCACACCCCTCGCACGCAGGCTACCACGTGCTCTCAGACCTGGTGAGCATAGAGAGACCTGGCTGCCCCGCCGAGTTCCTCAACATCCACATCCCACTCGGGGACCCCGTGTTCGACCCCCACCGGCGCGGGGACGTGGTGCTGCCCTTCCAGAGGAGCCGCTGGGACCCCAAGACCGGACAGAGCCCCAACAACCCCCGGGACCTGGTGAGATGGGCAGGTGGCGGGGCAGGAGCTGGATCCCAGGCGGGTGGGGCTCTGGGCTCCGGGTCTGGCAGGGTCGTGTGCGGAGAGGATCCCCCTCTCCCACGGACACCCGCCTGGCCCTGGACCCCCCTTACCCGCCTCGACGACCCC